CCCACTCAATATTTGTTTTATATAACTGACTAGATCCTTGCCATTTGATTTTGTTTCTTTTACAAAATATATAATTCAATACAAAATTGGTGGAAAATGTATTTCCCTCTTCCAAACCACCCCTTCAGAAAAAATGTTTGAACCTAACGTTGTAGCGCAAACTCTTTGGAACGCGCACATCAGCATACATTAACTGCACACAAATATACCGCACAAGAATGATGATCCTAATAACACTGTTCAAAAGTATGTCTCATGGCGTTTAATGGGAGCAATAACGAATGACACGTGATGTGAGTTCCACTAATCAAATGACAAGGATCTGCATGTCAGTTATATAATCATTAATATTGGGCATGCAAGTTAAAATACTTGGGTAAAATTTCCGTCTTCATTTTGGCTATTTTTGTTTTCTTCTATAGACGCGCCCACGTGAGCTTGGTGATGGAGGCATCGACGGAGCGCAGCGTGTCTCGAAAAGAGTTCCGATTCTCATCGTTGTCATTGTTCTGCTGTGTTTCTTTATAGCAGCGTTCGTTTACGTTGTGGTCAACCAGTAGAGTTAAAAGCCTTAGAAGAAAAAAACAACTGTTGAAAATAAAAACTTCAACTGTGGACATTTTCAACTTGGTGAAGATGCCTTTGTTTTTCTCGAAAAAAATAAAATAGTAAAGCCACGCACATTCTTTGTATCACGAAATGTGATTTCGTCTATAGAACTCCCTATTGACCAGTCGTTAGAAATTCATTACATATTCCTTCTCAAATGACAGCAAGCAATTTTTTTTTTATTATACTTTTTCGTTATGTTACTTTTGGGATACATGTTAAGTGTTATTGTGCAGATTATTCTCACCGCTAATTAACACTCTAAAAGGCCAGTACAGTGACTGGTGGTATGCGAATATAAAGGCATATATTATAAAGCTTTTCATTCATGTTGCTGGTTTTAATTCCAACAACACAACTGGAAGTTTAAAGAAGACTGTTCAAAATCTAAACTGTTAAATGTTCAAAACCTATAACATGTAGTCGTTTTCAACTCAGTTAAGACACTTCATGTTTTGTCCCCGAGAAAACAGTACATACCATGCATAAGCTTTTGATATCACGAAAGGCGATTTCGTGTATACACTGTAAAAAAAAAAAGATGGCGAAATGGGCTGATTATTCCATCTATACTATGTACGAATAGTAAACAAGTTCAACTATTAGGCAAACTTGCTTTACATGCGTTGTTTGTATCTAGCCCAACGATTTATTTGCCCTATACAGGGTGAGTAAAAAAAAACGAAGCCCAACTGTCGGGACCATTGTTTTAGTGAAGTTCTGCATGTAGCATTTTCAAAATCTAGGATATAAAAGCCCAATTCATAAGCTTTCTTTTAGTAGAAAAATTATTCGAATCACTTATGTACTTTTTAAGTTACGGAGTTTTAAACACAATCACCGTTTTAAGGTTCTGTCCACGGATCACAAAAAAAGTTCAGTGTTCTTTCAGCAAAACGAAAACAAATCACATCTTGTTTTTGCTGAAAGAACGCACTCCTTTTTTGTGATCCGTAGACAGAACTTTAAAATGGTAGTTGTGTTTAAAACTCGAAAAGTACATGAGTGATTTGAATGATTCAGTCTTGTACTAAAAGAAAGCCTATAAATTGGGCTTTCATATCCTAGATTTTGGAAAGTGCTTCATGAAGAACTTCACTAAAACAATGGTCCCGACATTTGGGTTTCGTGAGTTTTTTTTACTCACCCTGTACTTTATACAGTGTAGAAACTTAATTCCAACCAGAGTCAACTTGACGGATCGTTTGAAATCCCTTATATTTTTTTTTATATCTTTTGAAAATGACAGCAACCTAGAGGACGTTTTAGTACCAACATGATCTTTAATCCAACTCAGCTTTTGACAATGATTCGGTAGGTTACTTACGGAATAAATATGAAGCGTTCTTCGAAATGAAGATTTGCAGGTATAAGGAAAGAAAATATAATTCTCCGTAAAGAACTTATACGCAAATTCTTTTGCCAAATATTTATTCGTCCGTGAGAATCTGTATGCAGATTTTTCGATTCATTTGTATTAAGTGGGTAATTGTTGTAAATATATATTTTTTGTGAGTGTATTTTTGGACTTAAAGACTTTTGTGAAAAGTGACAATTTTCGTATCTGAAATAGTCATAATTATTCTTTGATTGAATATTGCGTTTTGCCCTATGTTCAAGGATATAATTGCAAATCGTGATTCTTTAAATAAATATGTATATAGCCTTAATATGAATTTGCCGAATATTGAATAAAATAACACCGATTGTAATCGTAAATCTAGAAGAAAAAAAATCTTTCCTGATACCTGCAAATCCCTATTTAAATTTAATACTTTTGGCATTATATTATTAATTTACATTTACTTATTCATATTTTCTTATCCTGACGTTTATAGAGTACTATACTTTCATTTTCTCCGTTATTATCTTAATTTATCAACTGCAAATATTAAATTTTAATTTTAATTTTAACTGAGGATTTGTTTTATTCTGATTTGTTGGGTTTTATTCGTTATTCTTTTATATGTCTAATTTAATTTAATTCGATCGTTGATATTTTTATTGTTAAAGGGAATGTACAACATTTGCTTTTGCTGTAATTTTCAGAAATAAATGGATTGGGAGGATTAGTATGTTATAGCAAATATTGTTAAATTGACTTGCTTCACGTTTTGGGTTTGGAGATGCTGGAAAATCCAAGAAAACCAACCATGTTTTTGAAGTCTGGTTCCCTGACCCCACGTAAGATGAAACGGAGCAATTTATAGACTTCGTCTAGAATCCGTCTAGAAGGCTTGTACCCCTTCACAGGTGTGTAATCAATTGTAAAGAAAATGCGGAATAACTAAATATGAAAAATTAGGGGCACTTTTTGAAAACAGTCAGTTTTCTCCAACGCTGGTCGGCCGACCAGCGTTGGAAAAATACAAGTTTTCTTGAAAATGTCAGAACACCAGGAGCCACGATTTTACAGGCTGGATGCTTTCGACTGTCATTCCCTAACAATCCAGTAAGATATTTCGTGATAATTTGATCATTTCGTTTTTTGATGTTTGCAAATGTTGTATCTTCCCTTTAATGATATATATTTTTTGTTTTGTTTTTATTCAAATTATCTTACTGTTTTAATTAATATTTATGTAAATGATTAACAGGGCCCTTATGGAAATCAGTTTTATTTAAATGATGAGGCCACCCTGTATAAATATGACAGCAAATAAATAATAAATAAATAGACTGAATTTTTCCAGTATTGAATTCAGTCTATACCGTATTATTTTTTTAGAAAAACATAACAATAATTAAAGATATGCACCACATTAATGTTAATGTACCATATGGGCTCCGTGCGCCAACGAAAGAGGGCGCCCTTTTACCTAGCAACGACGTCGCATGGGCGGGACATTTAGCTGGTTGACGCGCACCTTTCCTCGGTGTGAGTAGTCTGGTTCCCAGACCAAAAGATTCTGACTATTCCTGATGAATCTTAGGTCAGGTAGCCTCCGGTAATACATTGTATTACAATTTACGTCACGTGACTAAAAGAGGAGGAATTCCTTTTTTTTTCCCCGAAAATTGCCGAAGTTTGCCGAATTCGTTTCGTCGACAATCGGATAGTGCCGGAGTATTTCCGAGTATAGGCCTAATATAGGTTTATTAACTGCTAATTGCTTATTAAATTTTTTTAAATGAGTTGATAATTAATATTTATTACTTTCATTTAGAAAACTTGAAATTCAACGACGATTTTGTGCATCAGATATACTCGGATCGTATGTGCGGACTTTTTGCTGCGTCATGTACAATTTTGAATGTGAAGACCGTTACCGAGATTTTCAAAAACTCGGTCTTCATTCGGCTCCGCCTGTTAACAGTGCTATTTGGGTGCCTTATTTTGAAGATTTCAAATCAATATTAGTCAATGTTATCTTACAGAAATATCAAACTGTATTATCATAACTGTATGATATAACGAAGCAAGTGATTTATTTACAAATTTGATCAGAACATTAAAAGCTATAAGTGATAATAAAGCGAAATCGGAAACGAAGCCGAGCTTTGAAAAAGGCCGTCAATGTCGTCATGTTTATTTTTAGCCACGGAGGCTGCCTGACCTACAATTTGAGCGTAGGGAATAATTGTCAGGTCTAGGGAACCAGACTAGTGTGTGAGCGCACGTACACCAGGGGATTGTACTATGTACACGCAGTGGTACGGCCGAGCGTCGCGGCAAAATTGCAGTCAGGCAAGATGGCGTCGGTCGGTCACCCCCAGAAGGAACACCTTCTTTCCCGAATAGGGGGTACTTGTGAACGGAGCGGATACATGTACAGGGTGAAAAAACAAAAACACGGAATCCAACCCCCCCCCCCCAAAAAAAAAATATGAATTTCATATTTAAACAAATCTGTTGCACCAAAAATAATTATGGCTGGAAAACCAATTTCATTAAATACTTTTAGATGAAAAAAATAATGAAATTGCTTAATCCTGAAAATTGCTGACACTAAAACTTCTTTTAAAAAATATGTGGATTTTGCCCAAAGCTTGCTCCTTGCTAATTTTCTCCAAAATATTGTAGTGTGTGGCGCCGCCACTGGGTTTGGGTGACTTCGAAGACAAGTCCGTCTTTTAAATCCCATTGATTGTGTACATTGTAGGCGGAAGTGCCTGCACTTGGATAAATTCGCTCCTGCCTATGCATTGTGATGCAAACTTTCAACGGAATACAAAAAAAAGTGGTTTCTTTTGACTTCACTGAATCTCAATGGCTAGAGGTCTAGTTCAACCGTAGCAGTGAATAAAGCACTGGCTTATAAAGCAATTGCTGCGTGTACATGCAGGCTTACTGTAGATTTTTTACCGTACGGGACAAGGAATGTTTCGTCCATGTTCTGACTGGTTTATGTGAGATTTTGGTCTTGAGATCGCCATGACTGGATGAAATAATGTCAAGAGGTAAGGATTGATTGGGTACAATGGGGGAATTATAGAGCAACGTTCGGCAAGCTAGACAGAACTCAAGTAATACACGTAGCCCTATGTAGCTGTCAAAGAAGTACATGACATGTAGTACATGTAGATACCGTGACGAAGTAAAATGATTTGATGTAGGCTACACCCACGGCTTATGACTGGCAGAGCACACGTCTATGCAATGACATTGATGGCAGTGACAAGCGTCAGTTGACAGCGACAAGAATTACAAAAGTGACAATTAACAGCAAAGCCATACGGATCGAGACTAATTTGATTAATCGAACAGCAACAATAGCGACATTTAACAACAGCAACGCGATACAAAGAGTCAGAGACTATAATTAGCCACGAGACCGACACCAGCGACAATATAAGCGACAGTTAACAATATCAAAGCGATAATAGCGACAACAAGCGACAGGACCGAGTACAACGATATTTGACAGTGACAACAGCGACAATTGGCAACTATACCATCGACAAGGGCACCAATAATGTAAAAGCAAAATCTGGAGGTTGCAGATCTGGAATAATTTACTTTTGCAAGCTCCAAATCTGACCTTATGGACTGCCCGCTTCATCGGACTGCTGTAAGGCCCTTTAATGAAGCACTACACCGATTTCAGGAATCTATTTTTTTTTGTCTTGAAGGATTCACACGGTTTGAGAATGATGAAGTCGACACCGACGATGTCCCTCCAGCTCCAGCCGACGGACCTCCTGGTACCCAGATCTCTCTCGATGATCTTCCCAACGACCAAGACCTGCATCCGCAACCCGACCCCGGCATAGTGCATCCCACGTCGACTGGGGTGGCCAACTTGGCTCTTACGCCCCTCCCATCTGCTGACGAGTTGGGCCAAACCCCGCCCCATCCCAGTGATGGTCCCCCACCGGGGCAAGAGAATGCCCCGCCCCCGCCTTATTCCATCTTATCTCCTGGTGGCACATCGGTTATTAGCTCTCAGCCTCTGCCAGGACCTGTCGACATGCACGTAAGTATTCAGTCAAGAAAAAAACATACCAGGCCAAACCAATCCAGACCGGACCGGACCGGATCAGACAGACAGACCAGACCAGACCGTACAAGAAAAGACCAGACCAGACCGGACCAGATCAGACTAGACCAGACCAGACCAGACCAGACCGGACCGGACCGGATCAGATAGACAGACCAGACCAGACCGTACAAGAAAAGACCAGACCAGACCAGACCAGATCAGACCAGACCAGACCAGACCGGACCGGACCGGATCAGATAGACCAGACTTAACCAGGTTTGACCTGAGAAAAAAAATGATATTACGGACACTTAAAAATAATGACAAATCACAGTCACTATTAGGCCATTAAGTCAGTCAGCCAGGTATACAAGGAACTATATAATAGCCATTTCATCTAAAAGTATGTACGAAAAAGGCGTGTCTGTATAATGTCATTCCTTGTTCGTCCAAAACAGGTGACATCCGTGCCTTGTACTGATGACAGCCCAGACATTAGTAATTACAGTTGGTGGGAATATCTACTTGCCACAACTTGTTGCATCCCCTGTGGAATTATACACTTGATCGTGCACTTCTGTGTGGTAGGTTCTACTGTATCTTTAACCCTAAACCCTTCAGTGGTTTGCTATAGGAACATTCCTCACTCTGGCAAAATCCAAAACCATGTGGTAAAACACCTGCAAATTGTTGGGAATCTGATTATGGCGGCATGCATGGCCCTATATTTAGAGCATAATCAGTTTATACTAGTGCAGTACTCACTCCAACAGATTCAAACAAGCTATGCAGTTGGACTTGGAAGGGTAGGAGTGATTAGGGTTAAGAGGCGAGAAATGTCACAGAAAAGATTCCACGTTTTTTGTCCTGGCTATGCATGTATAACGTTGCTGACAGTGCGCCCTCACTTTACGTAATGCAGTCATAATGTTTCGAAATGCATACATGTACATGCATGGTGTATTCATATCGTACGAATTGATACGATCGAGGTATAATATTGCCCCATGTTGTATCAATCATGTTTTGAATAATGAGAATATTATCTTCGTCCAATATGTGGATGTTGAACAATACAGAACAATGATTTGTCTGCGCATGTACATTGTATAGGGTAAAGATCGAGGCCACACGTGTGAAACATACTCCAATCGGAGACACCTGTGTACAAAAACAATGGGAACTGATGCAAAAAGCAGAGAACAAAAGAGGAACATTATGGAAATGCTCGATTTACGTCACAAACATGACTGTGTGTGTAGGTATGGCGAGTACTGGCCATATTAATTACGCAGTGGACAAAAGAGGAACATTAGGGAAATGCTCGAATTACGTCACGGACATGACTGTGTGTGTGTGGGTATGGCGAGTATTGGCATATTAATGCAGTGGACAAAAGAGGAACATTAGGGAAATGCTCGATTTACGTCACAAACATGACTGTGTGTGGGTTTTAGCGAGTACTAGCCATATTAATTGTGCAGTGGACAAAAGAGGAACATTACGGAAATGCTCGATTTACGTCACAGACATGACTGTGTTTGTGGGTATGGCGAGTACTGGCCATATTAATTATGCAGTGGACAAAAGATAGAGCAACATTAGGTAACTGCTCGATTTACGTCACAAATGTGACTGTGTGGGGGGGGGAGGTATGGCGAGTACTGGCCATATTAATTAAAGAGGCACCTGTGCTGGCTTGTGTTCATTCTAGTGTATGTTTTTTTTTCCTTCTCCTATACATGTGCAGGTGCGCAAGCGTGAGGAAGCGGGCGACTACGAAGGTGCAACGAGGGCGTTAAAAACTGCTTATATTATGTACTACAGCGCTGCCTTGATTGTCCTAATAATCGCGAGTGTTCTCTCGGTCGTCTATATATTCTTGAATTATTAAAGAAAGGCCATTAAAACGATGCCGATGATAGGTTCTTTAACGATCGGTCAGTTGGTCAGATACAGTCAAACCCTGATAAAAAGAGCACTGTTAATACAAAATCCTGCTTACAACAAGCAAAATTTTAGGTTTTTGTTGTTCTTTGTTTTCCTTTGTTTTACATCACTGTTAATACCAGGTACCTGTTGTAACCACTGATCTCTATATAAAGACTGGATAGCGGATATGCATACAACATTCACACAGTAGACTTTGCATATTGACCAATTCGCCCCCGGTCTCACCAAGATGGCCGCGTATAATACGAACGTCTACGCGTAAATACGCGCGCGTTGTATCAACAGTTGACGCGCATTTTGGTCACGTACACATATTATGATGTTCTAAAAGGAACACATTTCCGTAGTGATTATTATTTCAAAAACGCCGAAAAAGTGATTTGCGGCATTATAAAAGTAACCACTACTATTAGAAAAATTGTAGTAAACCTTGGTCAGTTGGTCAGTGGTGGTGGCCAAAATATAAGTCAATTGAGCCGCGACGTTACAAAAGAAATCAAGCTGTCTATAAAGACGGTAACTTGTCCTTTGTAGATCACCAGCCGGTCTCACCAATATGGCGTCAAATTCGTACATTGTGCGGCTCTTTATTAGCAATCCAGTCTTTATATAGAGATCAGTGGTTGTAACAAGGTAATTCGTAAAGTCCCAAGGACCTTGTTGTAATTAAAGGTGTTCGACTCTATTACTCAGAAATGCACTTTTTTCGTGTGGACATGAGGTGTACTTCCAAATCTGAATTCAGTGATGACAGGGCATATAGACCAATAATTCTCAGAAGCACGCGTTTGTTAAACTAGGCAGGGCAACTCAAATGTTCTTTGTACTCGGGCTGCTCTTTTCAACTGATCAAAATTGGGATTTGCAGGTATAAGGAAAGAAAATTAAAGTCTCCGTAAAAAGTAATATATATGCCGACTTATTTTCCAAGTATTTATTCGTCCGTGAGGATCTGTATGCCAATTTATCGATACATTTGTATTAAGTGGTTATTGTTTTTTAAATGTATATTTTTGCAAATGTATTTTTTTTAATTTAAGGCTTTTGTGAATATGGTACAACTTGTAAGTAGGCTAACAATTTTCGCATCTAAAATAATAATATTCTTAAATATAGGGTTTTGCCCAATGATCAGTGATATAATTGCAAATCGTGATTTTTTAAAATAAATATGCATATAGGCGTTATCTGAATTTGCCAAAATTTCGAATAAAATAACTCCGATTCACGTAAATTTAGATTGAGTTTTTGCAGTATTGAATTCGGTGTATACCGTATGTTTGTTTATTTGATATGCACAACATAAATGACACTGTAACGAAACAGGGGTATATGTAGACTGATATCAAGTCTAGCCACAGAACCATCATTTCGGACTTATGAGGCGTCGGACTTATGAGGCATAAAATTTATTTATTCCGCCTCATAGGTCCGACGCCTCATAAGTCCGACGCCTCATAAGTCCGACAACGGAAAAACGAGGCGTTTAATTTGTCGGACTTACGAGGCGTCGGAGCTATGAGGCGTCGGAGCTATGAGGCGTCGGACTTATGAGGCGTCGTACCTATGAGGCGTTGGACTTATGAGCGGACCCCGTTTTGAGAGCGTGATATTGTGGGGCGACCAATCAGCATGCCCGTCCTGCATGTACACTAGGCTGATCGGCATTTCTGGTTATAAATTATGCAGGCGTGTCCCGCGTGATCAAGTGCATATGATATCGCCCAGCGACCAATCAGCAGCGTGCATCCGGCGTGGTCTGGGGCGATTGCCTCGTGGCCTGGCGCTTTGGTTCGGTACCCCTGGGAGAGACTGCGTTGTGTAACAACCGACTATCGTGCAATCTCGTGAGCTGACAGCGTTGAGTTACCGTGGTCGGCCTGGAGCGGGAGAAATAGGTTTTTGAACATTAAAAACAGCTTTATATGGTAGAAAAAGCAATAAAGAACATCTTCTGCATATCAATTAAAGTTAAAATCATTTTAAAAATTGGTGTTTTGAACGCGAAATGTACGCCGAATTTGTCGATAAAAGTTGGCCGTTATCTTGTTTAAGTGTAGCTAGCCGTAGTACGCATGCGTGAAGTGTACAGAGCCATACCACGCATGCGCGAAGTCTAGCGCCAAGATGGCGGCCAACTTTTATCGACAAATTCGTCGTACATTTCCCGTTCAAAACCAAGTTTTAAAATAATTTTAACTTTAATTGATATGCAGAAGATGTTCTTTATTGTTTTTTTCTACCATATAAATGTTCAAAAGCCCATACAAAATTTGTTGATGCTCGTTGACGACCGTTGAGGCTTGTTGTTGGGGCTTGTTGTTGGGGCTTGTTGTTGGGGCTTGTTGTTGGGGCTTGTTGTTGGGGCTTGTTGTTGGGGCTTGTTGTTGGGGCTTGTTGTTGGGGCTTGTTGTTGGGGCTTGTTGTTGGGGCTTGTTGTTGGGGCTTGTTGTTGGGGCTTGTTGTTGGGGCTTGTTGTTGGGGCTTGTTGTTGGGGCTTGTTGTTGGGGCTTGTTGTTGGGGCTTGTTGTTGGGGCTTGTTGTTGGGGCGCGTTGTTGGGGCGCGTTGTTGGGGCGCGTTGTTGGGGCGCGTTGTTGGGGCGCGTTGTTGGGGCGCGTTGTTGAGGCGCGTTGTTGGGGCGCTTTACTGGGACCCGGAGAAAGCCCCAGCGTGCCTGGTGTGCATTTTAAGGTCTTATCTAATAAGATTTGGGTTGATTGTTGTGAGACTTTTTTGGACTTAAATACATTTGAAACAGCTCTCTTGTCATGTAAATAGGACTTTCCACCTTCTTTGTAGCAGTAAAAGGGAAAAATTTCAATATTTTAGTGTTCATGCTGATAAAAATTTACATATTCATTATCCAAAGCGTGATGTCATTCAAGGCAGAACAGTATAGTGTCTCCTTTGTGTACAAGTATATATCAAACCTTTCTTCATTTTCTTGGAGTAAGTTCCACTTCTTTCTTGTTTATCATGTTAAACAGCTTGTCTGGATATACTGGCCAGTATTTCTTCAAAACTTTTTGTGTGGGTAATGTTAAAGGACGAATTTTTGTACTGTTTATATGCACTTTTGACAAGGAGTGCCTTGTGTGACAAAAGCAAAATAGCGCCCTCTTAGGCGAGCCATCAGATAACAGACCGTTCGGGTACCGGGTCCGGTATGCTAATTTCTTTCACCCCAATCGGTACGAAGCCAGAAGCCACCCGGTCACTGAAGCGTGACGCCCCAATCGGTCCAAACTGGTGACTCAGGGTTTCACAATAGGCAACATAAATTGAAGTCTGGCCATTGTTGGAGGATTATTCGGCCCGCTCGGATTACCAGCGGCAACTTCTATGAAGCTCATCACAGCCATTGTTGCCTACTGGAGGATTAGCGCGTCGCAAATTGGTTCCTTTGTGATGAGCCAGAGCCATGGTGCAGAAGCCTGGTGGAGTTAATCCAGGCCGATCGGTTCCATGCAAGGTCCCAATCCCTTCAACATACTGGGCGGGCTCAACCCCGAACGGTCTGGGGAGGGATTCTAATTTGAGGGCTCGCCTTACATGAATTGATGAAAAACAATTGAAAAACATGAATGAATAATAATTGAAAAACCACCACTTTCTTGTCATTTCCATTGAAAACAAGAATTAAGATCTTGTATGTATTGTTGCAACACATAGTAATGTGCATGAAAACAAGATGAAGCTGAATTTTCACTGCATAGTTCCTTTGAAAATTCCAATAAAAATTGTATTACATCGCAAATTTTCTGAGTCGGGTCTTTGTTCCAGTTAAAATCTACGCAGATATTTTTTTAAAACTACTTATTCGTCTGTGAGGATCAGTATGCAGATTTTGATGCATGAAGCGTGCATTTTATTATTTGACATTCTATTTTTGTAGAAGGTGGGGTTTTTTTTAGACTATTGTAAATTTTTCAGTACTTTAACGCAACAAGTCCAATATTTAAAATACATGTAGTTACATTCTTAAAATAATCCCTTAATGAAATTTCGCCAAAGATTGAAATACAATCAAGTGACGATGATAATCGTTGAATTAAGTTGCCTTTTTCAGTATTTAATTCAGTTTGTTTCTGTACCACATGATAGGCCATTACAAATACGAGGAAATAAAAAGAATTTTAGTTCGGTTTGAAGGTTTGTTTGGATGTTCGACGGTAATAGACTGTCGGTCGATCGGTAATTAATTTCTGGAGAAACTCCATTTCATCCTGGGAAGTTTCACAGTGTCCGACGTACATTCGGGATAGTACAATGATTATAATTATTACGTGGATCTTAATTCTGATGAAAAGTATCAATTACATGTATTTCCAACAATTAATGAATTTAAAGAAAAGAATTCATCCAACTAATTTTGATGCAGTATATTTCTGTTAAAAACGCTGTGGTGTTTTTCGCACTCGGACAAATTGTTTTTTGGTTTTTGTAAACATTATTTTTTTCAGTTACAAGTTATTCCCAAGCTGTTGAACATTGTTGAGAAAATAATAAAATAAAAGCTTACCGTCTGTAGCAACGCAATACAGACATTAACTTAAAAATAATATTTTTTTGGCGTTTCGACCATTTTGAAAATTGTGACATCTCGAGGTTTGTATTTCTGTGGAATTATCCTCCTCTTCCTTTGATGAGGCTATTGATTTCTCCTGTAACCATGAACTCGTGTCTGGTTTGAGGTTTACTGCTTGTCTGCAGGGTGACCGTAATGTCATGGCCAAATTCTGCTGAATGCGCTTCAAAAATCTGTCAGATTTATCAAAATCTGAGGCTGTTGATTTCTCCTGTAACTATGAACTCGTGTCTGGTTTGAGGTTTACTTCTTGTCTGCAGGGTGACCGTAATGTCATGGCCAAATTCTGCTGAATGCGCTTCAAAAATCTGTCAGATTTATCAAAATCTGCCAAATTCCCCAGAATTACTCAAAATACACTATAAACACTTAAAATCACATGCAGATGTTGTAGTATTGCCTTAATTAAGTTTCCAATTACATTATAAACGATATATCAGTCACATAAATTTGTTACGAAATTTCAGGCAAAACGCGCCTGCGTCACGACAAAGTCCGTTTCCCAGTGAACCTCGGCACCTAGACCAGCCAACCTGTCCCATTATGCAAGGGTTTGTTTGAAAAGATTGAAGGTTTTTTAAACACATGTACCATTTTTTTAATTTGCTGTTTTTCTGTCAACCATTTTCGCAGGAAACTCCCAGAAATCTGCCAAAAATCCATTCTCTCAAATTTTCTGTCAAACTCGTTTTTAAAGAAAAACAAATCCGTCAAAGTCAGCCGAAAATCGGCTAAAACGGTCACCATGCTTGTCTGTCAGCATAATTCCATTGACTGTGTACATTTCAGGCAGAAGTAACGACGCTTGCATAAACTTCGCAACTGCCTATATGCATTGTGATGAAAACACTTTCAACCGAACAATAAAAGGTGTTTTTTTTTGTCTGGCGCGCCTCCACACTTCTCTGGATCTCAATACCTTCAGCTCCATACCTGTACAGTTGGCCTATTATATCTATGATCTAGGTCAAATACATGACTTCTATGGCTGTGAAAGAAGTGGGCTTAGGCCAAATAAAAAATCTCCGGTTTCTGGTACGGAGCTTGCCCAAAAAGTGGTGCAGCGACGCGGCTCTTTTTTTTTTTACCTTTTTTTTTTCTTTTTGCTTCAACTGTCGGCTGATGACTGCAAATGGTGCCCGACTAAACTTAGTGCAAATATATGGGAGTCCAGAGAGGCCACAGAAAGCAGTGAGTTTGGCAGTTTTGAGACATCATCTTTTATTGAAAAAAAAACCGTTTTCATTTTGCCATACCAGAAACCGGAGACTTTTTTTGGCCTTATTTAGTGGTCTTTTATGGTTCAGCCACTTGCTGCATGTATTGGCCTAGTACATGTACTATATATCTCTTGCACCGTATACCGGGCATTTTTTATGTGGGTTTTTCGTCTTTCATCCCTTAAAATGATATTGGAAAGGGGAGGTCATGATACGGAGATAGTTTGGTTGGCTTAGACTGTCAGTCGATCGCTTATTAATAGTGTGTGACATAATGCACATGCTGCTTTCACTACTACAGACGTGGGTCGGGTTTGGGTATACGAGATTTGTACAGAGTCCCATTAACTGTGTACATTTCAGGCGGAAGTGCTTTGGGAAAAAATACACAATGCATTGTGATAAATATCTCAACCGAATATTTGTTGGAGTGGCATATGCACTAAAGCTTCAGTGGGTCTCAACGGCAGGCTAGCTGCATGTGACGTCATGGAAAGGTCATTATCTATGCAAATCTTATATTGTAAACATGTATAATGGTACAGCTACAGCTCTACATGTAGTTAAAATATATGTAGCAGTGACGGCATACTTGCTGCATACCATAGACCTGCACTGTACGGGGAAGCGACATTTCGTCCATGTTCTGAATGGTTTGTGAGGGATTTTTGTCTTGAGATCGCCCAGACTGGAAAGCTGAAATAATGGCAACAGGTAAGGACTAAAGTTCGTCTGATCATGGAGAAAGTATCAGATCAACGCTAGCACGAATTCAGCCAAAAGACTTCACTCAAATCATAGCTCCATGCGCATCTGTTTTGGAGTATCAAAGACGTGCGTTAAAATGAATGCTGCCATGTAGTACACGTATTTTACACGAACTGCAGTGATCGAAGTATTCTGAGGTTCCTACAGCGCACACGTCCATGCAACGACAACGAGGACAGCGACAAGAGCGACAATTAACAGCAACCAAAGTGACAACCGACTAAAGTGACAACTACAGCGACAATGCAGTGATCGAAGTACACTGAGGGTCCTACAGCGCACACGTCCATGCAACGACAACGAGGACAGCGACAAGAGCGACAATTAACAACGACCAAAGTGACAACCGACAAAAGTGACAACTTTCAGCGACAATAACGACACTTATTTTAAGGCAACTGCTGCGCTCATATATTTGCGACAATTATTTGAAGTTGGTATAAACATGTACTTTTTCCAAAATTTCAAATATCTTCCCCGAGCGAATTTGGAAGAAATATATTTCCCTGTTACAAATAAATTTGCTTGGTTGCATTTGCAGGCCTTTTAACACGGTTGTAAAAAAAGATTTTACACAACCTCGTCCCCAGTGCTCACTTTATTTCCAACGTTGTTTCCAATAGTAAGCCCTGGATAGGAAACTTTCTTCCTGTGTCCTGATTCGATACTGCAATTGGCTAGTAATGGATTTTTATTGTGTACTTCGTGTTGTTATTCACAACGTGCAGTACGTGTTTTCGCGATCATTCGCCCACGCCTGCTCATTTCCTTTCCAATTTGTTCACATTAATATGAAATGTGATACTGCATGTTGTCTCGATACGGTCGTAACAGTTTAATTAAATAAATCGTGTTTTCGTAACTCACGCTGTGCTCGCGCTGCGACGAATTGACTCTGTTTTTACCCCAGATAGCGGCATACAAAAACGAACGATAATGTAACGCACATGCAGGCACCAGACTATTCCTCATTTGCATACGTGTTCAAAAATCTTGCACATGCAAATGATCCTTTACCAGGGTGAGAGAGCAGGTAGTGATGGGCGCGTACTGCTCGACACCCTGGGGTCGAGATTGGGTTTTACACAGCGCGCTCCAGTTCATATAGACTTGAAATCAAGTCGTTTCAGCTTTATTTGTCCGCTGGCGCCACCAAAATGAACCAGCGCTGTGTCACTGTGCTCGCCGTTCAACGTTCCATGGCCCATAAAGAATCGACGCACACGCCATGGGACCCTTGTCATTTATTATAACCCCTTGGACAGCACTGTATGCGGCGGCGCAGGCCGGCTGACTAAACCCGTCCAATTTCCGGCTTGATTTCAAGACTAGCAATAAAAAAGGGTCCCGCGCTCCTAATTCAAAAGTTGAAATTAATGAACTGATTACTTGCCGTTGGCCAATTTGTCTTCGCCCGATATATCATTAGAAAGCTCATCACTAGTACAATGCAAACAAAATTATCAATTCAATTTGAAAATCTATTTTTTCAGGGTGCCACACCCAAAAAGCACATAGGCCTACACTAACTTTAACAAACGCAAACGTGACAATATATACCAGTGACAATAGTGACAACTAATGGCGCGACAATAACGACAATTGAGGCAACGACAGCGATCACATTAGCGACAACGATAATAGCGACATTAACCCTTCGAGCAGCTTGCCCAAAAAAATTACGCGGTGGAACCACCATGAGAATTTTATCACATCATTTTTTTCTAGGTCAAAAACCATGGCACGCCTGTACATGCACAAGATATAGGTCATTCACATGGCCAGGGATTGTGCTCTGGGCGGCACGAGGGGTTGACACAAAGGGATCTGCGGCACTTAGGGGTTGGCCACTAAGATCTCCAATTACTGCACAGAGGCATTGGCCGCCATCTTGGCTTCTGTCTTTTAACACTCCTTACTCCGGAGTTGCTAGGGTCTGGCCAATGGGAGTCTACAGGCTTGTGGTGTATAGTAGGGGTGAGGATTACATGGAAGCTTGGCCTTATTGGCCCATTGAAAAAAAAAATATGACCATATTTGGAAAACAATGAGATTTCTTTCACGCGCCGCTGCTCGAAGGGTTAATAGGTACAACAGAGAAACAACGATAGTGACAATTTTAACATGGACAACAACCACAAATGAACCACACCATGGACCATAAAGCACCCGCGACCACGACAAGAAAAAAACATTGAATTTGCACTCCCGTCTGTCATAGCGTGACAATTTCTTTAAGTTTATTACTGGAACCAACACTTACGGATTCTCCTTTTTCGTCTCTTAGGTTACAGACGATTTGAAAATGATGAGGCCAACTTCGGCACGGCAGTGTCTAACCAAACCTCTTACCCACCATCCCAGCAATTCAATGCCCCGCCCCCTCCAGCTAACGGACCTTATGCACCGTCCTATCCCAGCGCTTGTCTTCCAATGGGGCAAGTAAATGGCCCGCCCCCTCCTTATTTCGTCGGTCCTCAAGGTGGCACACCGGTCATTTGCTCCCAGCCTGGGCCTTTGTACGTGGCTGTAAGTAATAATAATAATAATAATAATCGACATTTAAGAACGCTCTTATTAGTAAACTAAATCACATCTCTTACAGTATTATTATTACCTGTGATCATTGGGCCAATTTAACATTCCAAATACCATCTCAGCTCCCTTGGGAGTATACAGCTCGATGCTGCCTGTTAGGTGCAAGCAAGCTAAATCAATCACAAAACCATCTCTGCCCTCACAAGTACCCATTTTCCCCTGGGTGGAGAGAAGCAATGAGTGACAAAGTGCCTTGCTCAAGGGCACACGCACCATGACCCCGGCTGGACTCGAACCCACAACCCGCAGCTTTACCCACAGACCATGAATCCAGTGCCCTTAACCACGAGGCCACATCAGTACATCTAGTTCAGTCTGTTCAACGTTTAGAGGGCCCATGCACTATTATTTTTTTTTAATGCAATCCTTTGAAATGCACCTTTGTGTCCAATTTAACCCTATTTTCAATATTCGTTGTGCCTTTTTTCAAAGGTGTTTTGGTGCCGTTTATGTGTTTATGCTAGTGCGAATGTCCATATTCATGAGCAAAAATGTGACATAGTCTCAGACAAAAACCTCAAAGTTGCTGCCATTTCAGTGCCAAAAGTTGCCAGAAATTTGGATATTTCGCTCTCCTTAATTTGTTTTTTTGTGTGGTGATTTCGTCGTGTCAGTACGTGGCACTAAACCAGTGAGCAAGCTTTTCTTAAAAGAATTTTTCAATAAGCAAATTATATGGTTTACAGAAAACCCCTAAACTGAACAGTGTCTTCCTAAAATGACATTTCGGCAACAGCGCCCTCGGTCATTTTTAAATGTTTAAAGAGGTGTACTTTTCAATAAAAATTAACGAACAAGAGAAATAAAAAATTGTTTATATAATTAAGAGGAGTAGAAGGTTGCACAAGGTGTGTCAGTCAGCCAGGCAGTTAGTCAGTTGGAGAGTCGGGAAATCAGTCGGGGAGTCAGTCAGTCATGGGGGAGTCAGTCAAGTATACAAAGAAGACAATAGGCAGGTCCTTGCTAAATTACCCTGGGCGGAGTGACCTGATGCCCCTGGGGCATCAGGTGACCGAATTGTTTAATAAAAAAAAATTGAGGGCCAATGACAGTCACCTCCTATCCAATCCTCATTCAACCCTTGCCAAAACAGCTGGTTCAATGAACTTTGCAGCCAGGGCTACACCCAACAAACTTTCGACCAGGCCTCCTGCCAAGTCTCATTGAAACATTAACAAAGACCTGTAACATGGCACAGCCATCTCCCATTATATCTGCATACCACAGCCACCAGTCAATTCTCTTTCCAGCGCACTGTCTGGCAACTGTCTGGCACGTGGCTTTTTGTTGTATTGCTATGAATAGGGTCTTTCGTAGTGCGGGAAAGTACCTGCTGCCCCGAGGGCCCCCGTTGACGAGTGGCTGTACAGTTTTTTTGTAAACGCTGCTAAACCAGCAGAAATGTGTACAATGTAGGCAGATCTATTACATTATTCCTCGTTTGCCCAACACAGGTGGCGCCCACACAAACAGTGGTACACGTCACCCCGGTCCACATCAGGAATTACATGGGGTTAGCGTTCATTGCACTGAAGTGCTTCTTCCCAGTGGGGATTGCAGCCATGGTCATGTCTTGTATGGTAGGTTGCATTGTATAATTTGTGGAATAAACAACCTCGTTCCCATAATGTCGAGCAGTGCGCTCCCACTGGCTGCTCTTCGGACTTCGGACTAATCACTCCGTCTAAAATCTGGATAGCTCTTTGGCCATTGCGCGCTGTGCACACATTTGAAGCTACGTGCTGGTTCCGAAACTGTTGATTCGAAAATGGTGCGGGAACCATTGTAAATACTCTCATCGTACATTTTATGATCAACAAAAGCGAAACTGACCAGGTGAATTAATTATAACTCTTGAAATGTTGAACAAAGAAATTGACGAGCGGGGCTTGAACCTGCGACCTCCAGATAACCGTTCCGGTGCGCTTACCAACTCAGCTATCCAGCCCTATGCTGGCAGTCCCCCAATCAAACAATATCTTTGCTCAAGGAGCGCTAGTTAAAAGCCATATTGACTAATTGGGGAACCGCCAACATTGGGCTGGATAGCTCAGTTGGTAGAGCACCAGAACGGTTATCCGGAGGTCGCAGGTTCAAGCCCCGCTCAAGTCAATTTCTTTGTTCAACTTAAAAAAAAAAATAATAATAAATAAATAAATAACTAAAGTATATTTAACAACTGTTATCTCAACATAATTTAATATAAAATTGAAATGAAATTATAGCTACGGCACTGCACGTATACTGGAGCACAACTGCCAAATTCATTAATGTCGGGCACACAAGTTATACTGTGTCGAATTCACTTTTGGCTATTTTTTTTCTTTTCTTCTATAGGTGCGCCAGCGTTATGAAGCTGGAGACATCGAAGGCGCACAGTGTGCCTCCAAAAGTGTCCTGATTCTCTCCTTGATCAGTGTTGTGTGTGGCATAGTAACGGCTCTTATTTTGGTGCTCATTTTCACCGCCCGCTAGTAACAAAACTGGTGACATGTAGCCTAATTTGAAGGCATAGATCAATTTAATTGGCTCTTCATTTAATCTGCTTGTTTCTCGAAACAGGCATGCTCAGATGCCCATTTCTTACAAGCTCTGCTTCTTTATGGGCCCCTCCACAGTATCTTTCATTCTTATTGTTTGCTTACCTTCGACTTTATTCAATTTGTTTTTCTGCTGTTCTCTATAGGATTGTCATTGTCATTGTCATTGATATTGTTTTGGTACTGTGGAAATAAACTGAACTGAACTGAACCCAAAGAAGAATGTTCAAAACCTAAACTCTTGCATGTTCAAAACCTAACCTCTACAAGTTTTCAGCTCAGTGAAGTAAAACTTAACGGGTTTTTTTCTCGAGCAAAAAGTGAAGAAAAAAAATGCACAAACGTTTGATCACGAAAGGCGGTTTCGCCTATAAAACTCTATCTCCAATTGCGAGTAGTCAAATTGACTGATCGTTGAAAAGCCCAACATTTTGTGATTTCTTCTAAAAATGACAGCAAGCCACAAGACGTTCAGTGACAGCACGATCTTTTATCTAATTCAGCTATTGACAATTATTCGGCAGGTTACTTTTTCTGGTCGATATTTTCTTTTACTTTATCTGGTCGATATGAGGGTTCGTGGGTATCATAATAGGAAAGAAAAGAATATTCTTTTTAATAAAATACTGTAAGGCCAAAAAAAGTCTCCGGTTTCTGGTATGGAGCTTGCCCAAAAAGTGGCGCGGCGACGCGGCTTTTTTTTTTTTTTACCTGATTTTTTTTGCTTCAAATGTCGGCTGATGACTGCAGTGCAAATGTATGGGAGTCCAGAGAGGCCACATAAAGCTTATTCTCGACCATAACCCAATCTAAAAACACGTTAAAATTGTGCAGCAGCTGGATTCCAGTCAAACCAGTGAGTTTGGCGGTTTTGAGAAATCATCTTTCATTGAAAAAAAAAAATCATTTTGCCGACGCGCATGGCTACGGCGACGCGCGCGCATACCAGAAACCGGAGACTTTTTTTTTTTGGCCCAAGCTATACGCAGATTTGTTTTTTATTCGTCAGTGAGGATCTGTATGCAGACTTTTTGATATTTGTATTTGGCAGGTAATTATTTTATATTTCAATAATTTGAACAAGTGTTTTTTTTACTTTAAGACTATTCTGATGTTTAATTTGCGTGACAATTTCTATATCTTAAATACTAATATTCTTCAGTTGAATATTGGGTTTTGTCAAATTTTCAATCAAAGAATTGTGATTTCTTTAAACAATAGTGAAGGCTTCATCAGATTTTTTCTAAATATTGAAATATAATAATACGGAGTATAACCGTTTATTTAAGTTGCATTTTTCCCCGGTATTTTATTCAGTCGGTACCGTAAGTTAGGCAATTACAAAGGCAGGATATATTAGGCGAGCGCCGGAGGATGGTCAAAAAGTGTCTTAAACATGACGGAAGTGGCAACTAGTGTACAACCAGTTAATAATTTATTTTTTTGGTGAAAGTATGGACCCTGACGAGGTCACAGATCAAAATTACCCGAAATCCCTGTGGCGCCTCTCAACAGAATATCGCACAGTAAACTGACATCCCTTTTGCTCACAATATTGACTGAAGTTTATTCGAATATCAGGCCCGTTCATGCATCACAATCAAAAGGTCAATTAACCATTTTACAATCATATGAAACCCCATAAGTGAAAAAAGTGCTTAAGACACATTTTGTAGGATCTAGTCACAAATTCAACATATATCCTTTATATTTCCATATTTTTTTTCCCTCGTGCTTGTTCGGGGGGATAAAAAGGGTCTGGCAACTTTATTTGATACTTTGGAAATTACTTAAACTGAATATAGGTCCAAATAAAAGCGCAAATGAATCAAACACGAAGCGTTTTAAGGGATCAACATCATTAGGCCAGTCGGCTGAGTCAAACACCCCTGGATGCTGTTTATTCCTAAAGCTTCAAAACTATATATATGTTGTACAAAATAATGGGTTCATATGGCAGATTTTTTACTCAGATTCAAATCATGGACTATTGAAAAGTAGTTGCGAAACGACTTGAAAACATTATGTGCATTATTTGTCCTTTTTTTTTAGAGTATTGTTTACTAATATACCGTACGTATTCAACGTCCATTACAAAGGCTAGACATTTTAACAGAATCTACAGTTGTGCCATGGAAACTTAATATTCAATTAATTAGTATTGCCGACATAATGCTGGATAATTTCAACCGCTGAAAATATCTATTCATTGGCACACAAGCTTTCATCGGTTGCTATGTGTTACCATTCAGCACTTTAGACTCAAGAACCGCTGAGTCTCAAAAAGATGGGTCTTGGAGCTAGATAGGCATGTCCGCGTCTACCTTTAAAGTGGACTTACATCATGACGTCTCAATAAAGTCACGTGCATATGTCAAGGCCTATGACGCAACCAAATGACAATTATTTAAGAGAATATGGCATGGAATTTACACTGGTACATATTTTGTGCAAATACCCGCATCCTCCGAAAAGTATGAACATGATGACACCTTCCTTTTAGGTTAGGCAAAAAAAAACCAAACTCGGTCTCTGGTCAGCGCGCGCGTCGATTTTAGTCATGCGCGTGAGTCTTTTCTTTTTCTTCAAATTAACACGGAAGCTACAACAGCGCCCTCTGTTGCCGCACCTCCTCAAATTTGTGTATTAAGGAGCACCAAGGAATGGGGAAATTGCACCAAGGCAAATGATGGAGGACACCAATGTATAATGAGGACACAAAAACTGAGCAAAATATTACCCACCATGACTGTACAATTCAAGATTGAAAAAAAAAGCCACCAAAAAAACCAAAAAAAACAGCGTCGCCGCATCAATTCCGGAACTTCGGTCTGCCCAGAGACCGACTATTTTTTTTGGCCTTACTTCATTTTGTTCATTGCATAAATTGGCGTAAGCCCTCATTTCTAAAAACTATATGTGTAGAAATGCCAGAATTCTTTGTCCATGTTGGTAACATTGTGCTTCCAGACTGAAAAGAAAGTTTCCAGAACTTTATTCCAAAAAAAGTGGGTTTTTTTGTCGAAGCTGGAATAAAATCAACTTATCCAATTATAACGTGCCCTACAATGGTAAAAGGGATCCAGGATACGGAGGTACGTTCGGTTGGCTTATACTGTCGGGCGATCGGTTATTAATTTCTTGACAAGCTTCACTCATTCTAGTTCTTTGATGAGGCTGTTGATTGCTCCTTCCACAATTATACAAACTTGGCTCTGGTTTGGGGTAAGAGTTTTGTGCAATGTCCCATTGACTGTGTACATTTCAGGCGGAAGTACATGCACTTGGATAAAATCGCGCTTGGCAATGCATTGTGATGCAAACTGTCAACTGAATAAAGATTTTTTTTGTCTGGCATGTATAACACCACTTTGCTGGATCTCAATGGCTACAGCTCTCATTCATAGACATGATTTATATATCGTACTGACGGAACATAACTATAGGCCTACGCCACCAACTTGCTGCACGTAAACCAACTAGCTGCATGTATACGGCGGACGTTTCGTCCATGTTCTAAATGGTTCATGTGGGATTTTTGTCTTGAGATCGCCCAGACTGGAAAGCTGAAATAATGGCAACAGGTAAGGACTAACTTCGTTTGATCATGGAGGAATTATCAGATCTTCGCCAGCATGGGCTCGACCAAAAGACAGAACTCAATCTCAGGCAGATTTTACCTGTTTGATTGAGAGTGTCAAAGACGCAGTCATGTAGTAATTGTATGCACAAACTGCAAAACATGAAAGTACACTGAGGGCTCTACAGCGCACACGTCTATGCAACGACAACGACGACAGCGACAAGAGCGGCGCCATTAACAGTGACAAACTTAAAGATGTGTCAAAGACGTGTTCAAGTTAACGGTGTCACATAGTCAACGTACACGAACTGTGGTGACATGATCGAAGTACACTGAGGATCTTAAGCACCCACGTTTTGCCACGCGACAACAAGGACAGCGACAAGATCAAGAAATAACAGCGACAAAAGTGACAACCGACAATGGTGACAACCGAATAACAGCGACAATAACTGCACATAAGACAATGGTTGCGATAATGTTTGCGACAATGAATTAAAGGACACAACTGTGACAATTAACCAGTGACAATTCACGGCGACAATAACGACAATTAAGGCAACAACAATGATAAAATTAGTGACAATTAACAGCGACAAAAGAGAGAATTAATAGGTACAACAGAGTAACAACAGTGACAATTTTAGCATCGACAACAACAACAAATAGACCACACTTACCACAACTACGACAAAACATTGAATTTACATTCTGGTCTATATATCATACAATGGCAATTTCCTGATAATTAATTCAAGGAAGCCTCACAAAGGATTAACCTTTTTATCTTTAGGTTACACACGATTTGAGAATGAAGAGGCCGACATCGGCACGGCAGAGTCTAACCAACCGTCTTGCCCCCCACTCGAGCAAGTCGATGCCCCGCCCCCTCCAGCTACCGAACCTGATACCCAGAGCTGTCTCCATGACCTCCCAACCTACCAAGGCCCCCAGCAGCTTCAGCCCGTCGCCTACACAGAGCAGCCCGCATCGACTGGGGTATCCGACTTACCCCTTAAGCCCCTCCCATCTGCTGACGAGTCGGGCCAAACCCCGCCCCATCCCAGTGCTGAGCTCCCAGCGGAGCAGATTAATAATGCCCAGCTCCCACTTCATTCCATCGTAACTCCTGGCTTACCGGTTATTAGCTGTCCGCCTCAGCATGGACGATTATCCGAGAATGTAAGTACTTCATCAGTTCAATCTGTTGTAAAATTTGAAGGGTCCATGTACAAATGACGTAATTTTGTTAATGCAATTCTTGGAAATGTCATTATAACCTATGTGTACTATATGTTCAATTTTCGTTTGCCATTTTCGAAGGCATTTTTGTGCCTTTGGGATTTCGCTAGTGCCAATTTCATTATTTATGAACAAACGTACGTGTGATGCCATTTTAGGAAGAAACCTCAGTGTTCAGCCATTATAGCACTACACGTTGCCCGAATTTCGCTCTCAATAATGTTCTTTTCCTTATGATTCCTTGCTGCGTCATAATACAAGGTGTTTCAATAAAAAGGAAACCTAACTTTGAAGAACCAGTATGGACAGACTAAATATTTACTGGCTGTAAAACTGGTATCATCTCTGGAAAGCGTAATCTCTATGCGTTTCAATGATAT